AAAGAGCTTAGTCTTAGAATCTAACTTTTTAGTCAATTTAGAATATTTCTCAACATCACTAGTATCATCATCACTAAAATCACTAAGTTCACTACTAGAGATGTCACTAGGAGGTGGAGGAGATTTAGCTCTTCATTTTACCTTCTCACCCTTTGCCATAAGACAAACATGAGTGGAGCGGTGGTCATCATCATCGGACATGTTGTTGAAAAGCCTTGGTGTAGAGGATGACTTTTGAATAGCCACGGTTGCAATCTTCACATCCTCTTCACTTGACTCTTTAGTTGAGTCCCACTCATGCCCAATGTGTGCCTCTTCCATTTGCTTATATCTCTTTTTGTGCTCATGCTTGCCCTCATTGTTGTCCCTCTTGTATTTGTTTTCTTTCTTGTCATAGGGACACTTAGCAATGAAGTGCTCCGTGTTGCCATAATTGTAGCAAGTCCTCTTTTTCTTGTTTGGGAACCTTCTTTGCACTATTTTGTACTCATTCTTTTTCAACCCTTTGTGATAGCTCTTCATGAACAAAGCCATGTCATCAATCTTCATCTTCACTTGAGGATAAACTTGGATCATCATTTTGTGGAGTTGACTTGATTTCCTTGGGTTGACTTGTTGATGCTTGCTTGTTGCCCTTTGCCTTGTTGGATGTGCCTTGATTGCTTGATTTATTTGCCTTGAGAGCTACTTTCTTGATTTTCATGCCTTCTAGCTTGGCTTGCAACTCATCAAGTCTTCTCTCATTTGCCTCTTCTCTTTGCATGTCAAATGTCAACAATCTTCCAAGCACATCATTAGGTGTGAAGTGCTCAAACTTCTTCTTATCTCTAATCAAGGTAACTACGGTCTTATTTCTTGGTGAGTAGGCTTCCAACATAACCTTCACCACTTTGTGATCATCAAGCTCATCGCATCCATAGCCTCTAATCTTGCCCACCAAGGTCATCAATCTATCAAACGTCTCTTGTGGCCCCTATCCATCTACAATCACGAACCTATTGAGCTTGGCTATCAATAAATCAATCTTTGCCTTCCTTACTTTATCAACACATTCATGTGCTAGATGCAAAGTGTCCCAAATCTGCTTTGCAACATTGACATTCATCACTCGGTTGTACTCATTTCCATCCAAGGCACTAAGAAGAATACTTGTGGCTTGGCTATTGAGATGGACAACAGCTAGCTCTTCATTTGTTGGTGCTTCGGGATCTTCCAAAGACCGGGGTGAAGACCTACAAGATAGGCACTCATCAAGTGCTTCCACTTGACAAAGTTTGTCCCATCAAAATGAGGCAACTTATCCGCGGGCATATTGACAAAAGATCTTTTGTTATGGTTAGACAAATAAGAATAATTAAAGGATATGGCGGCATATTTGTTCTTGTTGTTGCTGCCCTTGTCCTTGCTATCTTTCTTTTTGTCCTTGCACTTCACCTCCTTGCTATCTTTTGAAGCATGGTATGACACATCATCATCTCCATCGTCCGAGCTATTAGAGAGCTCACTAGATGATGCATCATACTCGTTCTTCTCTTGCTCTTGGGCTCTTGCTGCCCTTCTCTTAGCTTTTGCCTCTCTTGTGATTCTTCTAGCTTCTTTTCTCTTCTTCTTGTCTTTGAGTCGCTGCTCTTCCTTCTTCTTCTCTCTAGCTTCTCTTGTTGCGATCTTTGCGGCTTTTCTTTCTTTTCTTGTATTTCTTCTTTCAGCATCGGTGGTCTTGGGTTCTTTGATGGTGGTATCACTTGCTGTCGACATGGATAGCTCGCTGCTGCTGCCGACATCCTCGACATGCACACCACTTGCGTCCGCAACGCGAACGTTCTTCGAACCTTCTCCTTCTTCCATACTTCACGCAGTGAAGTGTATACGAAGCAACCTCGCTCTGATACCACTTGTAGGATCTACAGGAAGATTAAGGAGGCCTAGAGGGGGTGAATAGGTCTGTAAAAATTCAACTCAAAACTCTGTTAGAACAGAGGGCGGCACTGTCGGCCTTACAGGGCGGCACTGCCATTCTATGAAAAATAATCTAACACAGTTGAGATTTAACAGATATAAACTTGACTCCACTAGTTTTTTAATCCTGCAATATAAAGCCAAGATCCAGCTCGAAGACTGGATACCACAGAAACTTCACACAACAATGAATCGAGCAACTAAACCCTAGCAACAACTTGCAATAAGGTAAACAACAAGTATAGTGAAGATGAAGCACGCAAGATACAAGATTTATCCAGTGGTTAAGCTCACCACTAAGGTTTGCCTAAGTCCACGTTGTTGAGGAGGCCACAAAAGGCTTGGGCTTGCCACCAAGGTTTGCCTTACCCTCGTTTTCAAATCAAGAGAGTGAACTCTTGAAGTGAGAGATGATTTCTTAGCTTTTGAATGAGGTTACAAACCACCCAAGGCTGCCACACGAGATGGCAAGCATAAGGGCAACGCCTAGCCGGCTAGGAGCAAGCTCCAAGAGTAACAAACCCTAGAACCGTTGGCCAAACGTGAACCAAATGCTCTTAGACTTTGAGAATCAGTGGATCTTCTCTCCAATCGAGTTTTGCTGCCTTTTTCTCAAGTTTTGATGGTTGGAATCAAGGATTAGCTTGAGAGATGGAGGAGCAACAATAGAGGAGAGAGGTGAGCTTTGGTTCTGTCTGGTTTCGAGTAGAATAACTCAGTGGAGAAGATGATCGTTGTGGGTCGGGCCTAAAGGGTATAAATACCCCCCGAGCCCAACGGTCAGTTAAGGGCGGCACTGTCGCTCTTGACAGGGTGGCACTGCCGCCCTAGCCAAAACAGGTAACATGATGTGAAATTTGGCTGGCTGTTTTGACTAGGTGAGAGGATGTAGATCTGTGAATTTGAGCATCTGGTTCAACAGTTGACCAACTGTCCTAAAATCTCTCTTAATAGTACGGCTTTTCCTAAACTCAATTTCAAAACATAAAAGAATTTAAACCTCCTTTGAGCTAGGTCTAGCTACCTTTTGTAATTAGGACACCTGCAACCTATACATCATCCTCATTCTTTGATTCCCTGCTTGTCACCTCGATAAATCTCATTAGTCCTCTAATTTGGTGGTCATCAATACCAAAACCCACAATAGGGCTTGATTGCACTTACAACTTGTGGTAAGCACTCCACATGGGAGAGTGTGACTTGCGGGTCACCACTGGCAAGAGGACCAGCGGCAACCTTGGAGCTTATCTTAACGGAGACTAGCGTGTTGGCAAACACGTGAACCTCGGGATAAAAAATTATCTTGTCATTCTTGTCTTCCCGTTGGTTTGCATTCTCGTTACACAATCTTCTATTTATTTCATTTATATTGTGCTTGTGTAGTTGCTCTTGTAATTAGTTAGTCTGTGTAGCTTGCTAGTTACCTTCTTGCTTGTATAGCATAGAAGTAGCTCTTGTGTGACTAATTTGGTTTGAGTAATCTTGTTAGTCACATTGCTTAGTTTGTATAGCTAAGTAGTTTGTGCTCTCTAATTTGGTTTGTGTAGCCTTGTTATTGAGCATTGCTAGTGAGCTTAGGTGGCTTTGTGCTTTTGCTTATTAGATTATGTAGGTGCTCCCCGGTTTGCTTAAAGTATTAGTTGCATAGGTTTGTGTGACCTTGCAAGCTAGAATTGGATAGGTGAGCACTAACTAGCCCGTCACCTTTGTTGCCTCGTTAGGATCGTTATAAGGTGCTTGTGAACCTAGATAGATGAGTGTAGTCTTGGCTAGACCGATAGTTTAAATTCGACATTTGTTTCGGTTAGCCAGCGCGTTTAATTTTAGAAAGGACTATTCACCCCATCTAGTCCGTTATCTCGACCCTACAGCCATCTGACTCCGCCCACTCGCCTGTCCTCCTCTCCGCCTTCGACCCAGCCCTCTTTGACTCTGGCCTCCGACTGATCTCTTCCCTTGGCTGCCCCTTCCCTCTTCCCTGGAATTTCACTCGACAAACATGAGCAGGGAAAGGGCACTCTAGCTCCTCTGACTCTGCTCGCTCAGCCACCCCTTCGACTCTGACTGCGAGCATGGCCACGCGGGCAGGGAGGGAGCAGACGGCGTACTACCCATGGCGAGCAACCGACAATGGCAAGATCTACGATGACTTTTTTTGGGGGGGGTGATTGAATCTTTGGTAGTTTGATTGACCTGAGATGCCCTAGTAGTATCTAATTGACCTATGAAGATGAAAAAAATACAAACTTTGATTTTTGTCGATTATTTTTGCCGAGATATGTTACCGAGCTGGCATGGCCCGTCGGACTTACTATAGGCCGGTACGACACTATTATTTGCACCTAGTGTCGTGCTTGGGCCTTAGGTTGGCACGACACAATGCCTATCGAGTCCATTCCTAAACAGAGTATATGCTTAAATGGGTCTGTGCCATTACTGGGCCGTGCCGCTCATTTGACCATCTATAGATACGGCTGGGAAAAATGGGATGGCTGCTAGCTACTAGTGGTGGTGCTTGAGCGAGAGAATGATTTTGAAGAGTCCAGCAAGCTCTCCTGGTTAGACGAGGTAAAACAGCAGAGACAGCAAAGAAACCAAGCGCACCATAAATTTAATGTTGCCTTATTTCGTGCCTTATATCTTGGTATCGAGCAATGGGCGGGGTTTAGTGTGCAGATCACGAGGCAGGCACAACGTACGAAGAAATAAAAATCACACGATTACACGACAAAATTAAACAATATGTTACACACGTACGTCTGCTCCCCTGGACACGAGGGGGGAAAAATAAAAGATGGACACACATGCATATGCATTGCGTACGTTGCACAGTCGACGTAACGTATAATTAACTGCAAGACCCGGGTGCACGGCCACCTGCCCTGCCTGCTGCCCCAATAAGAGTGCCTCTCGTCCTCTGCCCAACCTGCAAGACCTTCTGCCGTAAGTACTACTCATACTGTGCTTCTTCTTCCTTCAGCTTCAGCCATGCATGCAATTCGATCCCTCTCTCTAGCTACACATTTCAACCAGTATAATAACCGATGTACACTACAGTGTGCGACTTCTACCCCGGCGTGTCGTGCGGCGACCCGCGGTTCACGGGCGCCGACGGCAACACCTTCTACTTCCACGGCAAGAAGGATCAGAACTTCTTCATCGTCACCGACGCCGGCCTGCACATCGACGCGCACTTCATCGGCAACCACAACCGGGCCACGAAGCGCGACTTCACGTGGATCCAGGAGCTGGGCATCCGCTTCGCGCACCACAGCCTCTACGTCGGCGCCACCAGGGCCGCCGCCACGTGGGACGCCGCCGCCGACCACCTGGCCCTCGCCTTCGACGAGGAAGCCGTCACGCCTCCGTCGGCGCTCGGTGGTTCCCGCCCGCCGCGCCGGCGCTGTCCGTCACCCGTACCGCGCGCGTCAACACCGTAGTCGTCGAGCTGAGGGGCGTCTTCCGTGTCGTGGCCAACGTCGTGCCCATCACCGCCGAGGACTCGCGGGTCCACGGGTACGGCGTCGGGGACGACGACTGCCTCGCGCACCTCGACCTCGGGTTCAAGTTCTACGACCTCACCGACGACGTCCACGGCGTGTGCTGGGGCAGACCTACCGCACCGACTACGTCAACAGGCTCAACGTCACCGCCAAGATGCCCGTCATGGGAGGCGCCTACACCTTCCGCTCCTCGGGACTCTTCGACGCCGACTGCGCGGTCGCCAGGTTCGGACGCAACACCGCCGCCGCTTCCTCAGCCGCCGGCGCCGGCATCGCCATGGCCACCGACGCCAAGTACCTGTAGACGACACGATGACGCGCGCGCCTACTCATTCAGAGAACGAATTGAACATGCATTGCATTGTATGAGAGACCAAAACTATAAATCGTTGTTGTACGTACGGATGTATTTGTAAGTGTCCCGGCCTAATTGTTGTTGTTGTATCGGTGGTTAACATTAATATTCAAACCAGCTTATATATTTAATAATATGATAACATGAAAAAGGAGAAATAATTCAGGAGCATATCAAGTAAAGAATGTACGTATTCTCTAAGAATAAGCAGAGAATCATCGTTGGACCCAAACGTGGTTAATTTTTTTTCCCGAGCATACATCTTTTCTTACCATTGTTTACCATTGTGAATCAGGGCTACTAGAATCTCCATGTTAATTCTTAGAGGACGTGTTATTGATAGAAAAAATAGGTCATAAACATTCTCATAAAAATTAGAAAGATTTAGCTTATTTGACCATATTTCATACTTACCACATATCATGTAGGGTTATTCGGATTGGTGTTATTATAATTTTCTCGGATTGAAGAAGTGTCAGCACTATTCACCTATTTAGAAGTAAGCCATTGTAATCTTCTCCTTTGAAATATGCCACGCTATACGCTAGATGAGGCCTTAGGCCCGTTTGTAGGCGTACATGACATATAGTGAATTCTGTATGGACAGTATTGCCCTCGTCTACAAGGGTCACTGTCATATATCGCCGCTTAGAGTTCGTCGAGGAGTGAGTGAAGGAGAGAGTGAGAGAGGAGGACGAACACGGACGGACTGGGTGCCTTTTCCCCTTTAAGACAAGGGCAATATCATCAGTGCCGACCCTAGGGGCAGGGCACGAGGTGCGACGGCTGAGGGCCCAAGCCCAGTTATACAAACCCTCCAGGTCCTATAGTCCATTAAGCATTAGCAAACTAATGAGAAGAGAGACATAGAACTGGTCAGACGACCCAAAAAGACAACATCGATATTTCTTTCCTAGTTTCCTTTTCCCACGGCCCTCGGGGAGAGAGAGGAGGCGAGGAGTCACGCTGCACACAGCACACTCTGATCGTGAGTTCGCGACGTGCGCCTTACACACGCGGAGCTGGCGAGCCGCGCCGCCGCGAAGAGCTAGACTACCGGAGAAATGGACACGGCGCACGAGGACGACGACCAGGCAGGGCTCTACGACGACGACATCTTGATTCTTGGCTTCTTACGAATTGCGATCGCCGATCAGTTGTTTAGGCCCAAGGTATTTTTTTCTTTTTATTTTTAATCTAAATTAATTATTTATATAGTATTCCAGACTTCTAGTACTTTGTATCCATATAGTCATATTTTTCTTTTAATTTAGGTGTTAGAATTTTAGAATGTTACCTAAAAAACATTTATCATGGGTGAGAAAAGAAAACGAATATATTGCTTTTTTAATCTACATTGTTCCTCAATAATTATCATACATCTACAAATATATTGCTTAATCTACATTGTTCCTCGATAATTATCAGACATGTTAAATTAAAAATATGTTATTGAATTTGCTTTCGTTTTGCAAGTAAAATTAGTGCCTATATATTATAAGATTTTATACATGGTCAAGAGGGGCCGTTACGACGAGATCGCTAGAGGACCCTTAAAATCCTATGACCGGCACTGAATATCATCCATACAGAATTGAACCTATGCCAAGTACGCTTGCAAATAAACGGGCCTAAGGCCTTATCTAGCGTCAGCATGTTCGTTTGGCTGTGGCTTGTTATAAACGATCGTAAATTTTCAGCCGGAACAGTATTTTTCTCTCACACAAACCAGCCAGCAGTACTTATTCACAAACCAGCAGCGATACGAACCAGTCAACCGAACAGGCTGTGTATAGCTTGCCATATTTCAAGGAAGGGGATTATAATGGTGTATAATGGCACCAATACAAATAATCTTGTAATATAACCTATCATAGCAGGCCAAAATCTAGGTTTCCATAGTGTAACACGTGAACTTAATTTGCTTGAACAACATGTGTTGTAAAGACTTGGTTGTGACTATGTTTGATATTCCGCATGTGTTTTATCTATGCGTAGGGGGGCACATGGGTGGTGTGGCCTAGGGGTGACTAAGTTAATTAAGCTGAGCTGTCAAGTGGTTGATAGTTAAGTTTAGCTTAATTAATTTGGTGGTTCCTTGCATACTCCCTTTGGCAATTCTTTTTTTTTTGAAGCGGCAATTCGTTTTTTCGCTGCTTTGAACAGCCTATGAAGTTTGCATGATGTTTTACCATTGGCGGCCTCATTAGTCATTTCTTCTTCACACGTCGGGGGAGGGGGCCTCATTCCTTCTTCATCCAATACATCCGTTAGCGGCCTCATTTCTTCTTTATCTTGTTGTAGCTCGACGTGCTTGAGGACAGGATGTAGCGGATCGACGCCGAGTGTCGCGCACGGAGTCGGCAAGGTCTCCCTCGGCCTGCTCGACTCGTCAACTAAGGGGGTGACATAGGTGAATGAGAGGTTGCGGTAGCTCGCGGCCACGCATAGGGTCACCTCGACAGGGTGGTTGTGGCCTGTGAGCGAGCGTCGGAGCTAGCGTAACGCTGTTGGACGCATCCCCATGGGCGAGGCTATGGCGTGAGGATGGTGGCCGCTTGTGGGAGCAGAGAGCGACGAGGGAGCCTACTAGTGAAGGGTGCAATGTTAGAGTGGCGAAGGCTAGGGTCGTGACGACAGATGATGGTGCCGGTGGAATGCACGACTGCCATGTTTTAGTGGCTTTGTGTCTATCTCGAGGTCGGCCGGTGGCAGTGGCATAATTGTGGGCGGTGATGGCGGCTCAAGGCTGTGGAAGGCTACATAAGGGTGCCGATGAAGGCTAGGTCACATAAGGATGGTAGGTGGCTTATGGTTGCACACATGCTGGCTAGCCTCTTTGCAGCAGACTGCGATGCTTGGCCCTACATAGAAGTGGCTAATGCGATGCAGTACAACATCGGGAGACGACACTTGCAGCAATGAGACAACGTGTGGCAACTCAACTTGCAGCGGCCTATAGCGGGTAGCCTATCATGGCTACGGCTACTTCGATGTGGGACATCGTGAACAGATGGCGTACTGGCATGCTAGCGGTGGCCATGGCGGTTGCGCAAAAGGTGGAGTTCTTAAGGTTATGGAGCAACACTATACAAATCATTTCTGATGGCAATACAAAAAAATAGATCTATGACATGGTGTCTAGTGCCAGATGTGGCCAGGCCCCCATGTATTGTGGTTTCTTTCAAGGCGACGGGAGCAAGGTGTGGAGTCCAATAGCGGATGCGACAAGACCACCGTGTGTTGTCTTTCTATAGTGATGACTGGTGGCTATAGAGCAGAATTGGAGAAAGTCCGAATCATCGGTTTGCGCTGTGGAGCTACAATGGCATCACGACGATGGTCCTGCATAATGGTGGCCTTCTCAGTGCGTTGCAATTTATTTCTCTCTTATTTTTCTTATATGGGGAAACTGGAGCTAGGGTATTCGATGTCCACAATATAGAAGACTTGAGTGTGAGCGAGGATTACAGTTGAGTGGCCTATGGTTGCACCGGGGAATCTATTGTGGTGGCGAGCGCCGTTGATAGAGGTTTGTTGAGTTTGTGGTGACGGTGTTATGCGTGGTTGTTGTTGCTAACTGGCCAGGGAGTTTTAGTAGTAGTAGTTGTTGTTGTTTTATTTGTTTTCCTTTTTCCTAGCTCATTTGTTTATATTTTCTTCTTATATATAAATAGAAACTGCTAGTTCGTTAAAAAAATAGGAGGCTACCAAAATCCTCGTGGAGTCTCTCGGTGATAATTTCATTGCATCAGTAGCACGCACACACTAGTACATAACACCCTGAGGCGAGCCAAGGAGCTCGGAAACGAACACGGGAGGCATTAGGATTATTACCAAATTGGGCCAATCACAGGCTGCGTTGACCAATCAGGCGGCAAAAGTTGACTCCAAATTCCCCTCCCCTCTCCCGTCTCCTCGTCCAATCGCCCTCCTCTTCCCCTTTCTGCTTCCTCCCCACGAGCCTGCGACGACGTCAGCAGCCCCGCCGACTACCCCCTCCCCTCTCCGCCCCCCTCGCCGAGGGAGCAATTCCGCCCCCAATCGGCCACCGGAGCCCTTCTCCCTTCCCGTTCCCGCGGCATCCGATGCGCGTCGCCGCCGCCGCGCTCAGATAGCCAAGCCGAGCCGGCGGCGACGCGGAGGAGGAGGGGGACCCTAGCCCTAGCAATCCGGTCCCCCGCATGGCGGGGAGCTTCCGCGAGGGCGCGGGGCCGGGGGACGCCCACGCGCCCCCGCCCCCGCCCACCCCGCCCCTCTCGCAGTTCCTCGCGCTCGACTCGCTCCCCTCCTGGGGCTCCGACCCCAAGCAGCCGCACTGGCGCCAGCCCGAGCTCCGCCGCGCGCTCGCCTCCGACGACCAGGCCGACGAGCTCAGGCGGATCCGCGCCAGCGTCCAGGACTCCGCGGGCAAGGCCAAGTGCGTACCCTTCCCTTCCCTTTCCCCTGTCTAATCTCGCATTGCTGACGCTGACTGCCCGCTGCTCAATTCTGTGTCCCCCTTCCCCTTCCCGGTCCCCGCAGGGAGAAGGCCAGGTCGCTGCACGAGGCCATCCAGAAGCTCGACAAGTACAAGAACATTGTCACCCGCAAGCGCCAGCGCGCCACCGACGCGTCGTCCGCGCCCGACAAGCTCGGGCCCGCCGGCCCCTCCTCCTCGTCCTCGGGCGCGCTCAGGATGGGCGCGCAGAACAACTCTTCTGTCTTGAGCAAGCGCGTGCGCTCCTCGCTTGCCGATGCCCGGGTTCGTGTGCTCGACCCACTCTTCGTCTCAGCTCACAGCGTTAGCACTTCTTATTACTTTCCTTAGTTTGTTTTGGCTGCAACGAAATGTTCCTGATTTCGTTAATAGTCTCCATCAGATTCTGGAATCTGGATCATGGTCGTTGAAAAGGTTGTACCTTTTCAGTCTTTGCAGCTAATTAAAACTCAAGCAAGTGTAGCTAGCTACTCATGTTCTTTTGTCGCGTATCGGTGGAAACCGGTGTGATTCCAGAAAGCTTGCCCTTCTTGTAAGCTCAGTTGCATGGAGACCTGGTTACCACCCTGTTGTCACCTCATTTTTCACTTATTAAGAGCATGCAGGACAAGTGTGGGAAAATGGTGATCTTGGTTGAATTCCGCAGTCAACTGATATAGCCTTTTTATTCTCACACTCATGTCACTCATAGTCCTCTGTACCTAGACTTATTGTTCTTGGGTTTTGAAACTACTACAACTCTGGTTGACCTAGTTTAAATGCTTCACCTTCAAAGTATGACCTTTTAATTAATGCGCTTCTTGTATGACGCGTTCTTCTGAACAGAATTTCAATCACAATTTTTACCATGATAATGTTTTCACATTCCTTATGAGTTTCCTGTGTTACCATTTCTTCACTTAAAAAACTTTTTTTTGAACTTCACCGTAGTAATTTCCTTGGATGAAAAAACAACAAACCATTTCTTCACTTAAAAAACTTTTCTTTGAACTTCACTTAAAAAACTTGGTTCTATTGTTTCTGCATGTTTCAGGTGGAAGGACGTGGTAGTGTTCCTACAAGGCAAGGCCCTTTGGTTAGTAATGAGAAAAATTCACCCGTGGAGAAGGAAAAGAGCAGTACAAGAATATCTGCTACAGTCTCTGGGCTTTCTGATGACAAATTGCGGGGTTTATCTACTGGCAGTGAAGGGTGGGAAAAAAAGATGAAGCGTAAGCGCTCTGTTGGAACAATGCTCAGCAGAGGCAGTGATGCCGATCGAGATGTCAAATCCGTGGGTCAGCATAGACCAGCCAACGAAGTACGCCCACGATCTAGTGATGGCCTTGGATATAGGTAAAAAACTTGTGCTTGCCATATTTTTTGTTCCTTGAGTTAGAACTTAGCTTGTTTCTGGTTGTTGACTCCCTGAAATGATTGTGCCTGATTGATCATCATGCTGAGCTAAATCATGTAATCTTGGGAAAACTTAAACGTTGAGAAGATATATGTGGTATGTTGACAAATTGATATCATCTGCTACCTTGAAATAGAGATGTAAGGGTTGAGATGAATTTGTCTTTTTTTTTTTGCCCAACTGTCCAACATCAGCGAGTAGAATGATATTACTGTGTACGTGCATCATCAGAAAGGTGGTTTTTGGCAGCTTGTGTTTCTAGCTCTTGCTTGGGCTAAACTGTGTTCTTTGATCAACACATTTTTTTGTCATTCACAATCGATGTCTGCTATTTATAGTTCCACCTGAATTCTCTTCCAGCACTATATGTGAAAACCTTCTTTGCCTGTGTATCCTTGTTAGAGCTCATGTTAATTCTCACATTGCAGACATGGAGTTTCTGCTGGAGCACTAGCAGGTAACAAGTTGGATAGCACTTCTCAGCAGAATAACATTGTATCCCGCATTCTGTCCAAGTCAGATGTCGACTATGTGTCTCAGCCAAATGAAAGAAGAGAACGTCATGCTGGAGTTGAAAAAGAAAGGACTACAGTAAAAGGAAACAAGTAAGCTAAGATACTTCTGTTTTCCTGACAATTCACGTTTTTTCTTTGCTACATATATGTGAAAGAGTATTGCAAAATTGCCATTTATTTGATGATATGCAATTTGTTAACTAGGGCAAATACTTCTGATGATATGCAAAACGGAAGCTTAAGCCCCCTGCCCAAGGCTAAAGCTTGCAGGGCACCAAGAACCAGTTCACTTGCTATGAACTCGTCTTCTAATTTCCAACGTTCAACCGGAGGAAGTGATGAATGGGAAGAAGCACCTTACCCAAATAAAGCCTCACCTTTGGGAGGCATGACAAATCGCAAACGTTCCACACATTCAAATGCTTCCTCACCTCCTATTGCCTGGGTTGGGCAACGCCCACAGAAGATGTCACGGACAAGAAGAGCAAATGTTGTTTCTCCAGTGTCAAATTTTGATGAAGCGTTATCTGAAGGATCACCACTTGACACTGCCACTAGATCAGCACCTATAGAGTCTGGCAGTGTCTTGCTGACAAAGAACACATCAACAAGCAAAATGGATAGCATCTCATCTCCTGCTGGGTTGTCAGAAAGTGAGGGATCGGCTGTGACTGAAAGCAAGTCCAAGGAGAAAGCCATGCATAGTGGTGAAGTGGGGAACGAGGGTGCAAATACAGCCCATAATGCAATGGGATTGATATTTTCGTCAAATAAAAATAGGATTCCTTTGAAAGAAGAGCTGGAAGATGGTGGTGTTCGTCGTCAAGGGAGGAGTGGAAAGGGGTGCTATGCATGTCAAGGGGTGTTCTCCCATACCAAAAGAAAAACTGGACACTGCAGAAACAAGAAAGCCAATAAAAGGTGGAAGACCTGGATCTGAAAAGAATGAGAGGTACTTAATTGTCGTCATCTTATGCTGGCATTGGGGATCATAGCTTTGCATATGAAACTTGATTTGACCTTTTAATCATCTGTGCAGTAAGTTGGGGCGGCCACCAATGAAAAAAGGCTCTGACCGCAAAGCTTCATCCTGGCATTCACAGGCTCTAAATAGTGATATTACAGACATAACAGGTTTTCGGAAGATGCTTTACCTTTATTACTCATGTCTCTCGCCATTATCCTTTCTCTTATAATAACTAATAATTGTGCACTGCAGGTGAACCAGAAGATGACCAAGAGGAGCTTTTAGCTGCTGTTAATGCTGCTCGCAGCGCTATTGGTGCGTATGCTGTCTTATCCCCCTCTTCTGGCGATCTCTGTCAGGCATCTCTTTGGGTTGATGGTTTATAACTTCCTTTCTTCTGCAGTTAGTGCCTATGCTGGCCCTTTTTGGAAGAAAATGGAACCCATGCTAACTTTTATGAGCTCAGAAAATTTATCTTTCTTAAAAAACCAGGTTGGTGCAAGTTTTGCTTTAGACATCATGATTGAATGTACTTTTATTGTTTGCTGGGATGGATTCTGATGTCAGTTTGTGGTCAGATCAACCTTGTTGAAGAGCTTGAGATGAGCATGTCCTGCATGTCTGATAGTGAACATGATATTGTAGCATCAGTTGATCACAAAAGAATGTCAAAGATGGTATGTGACTTCATGACATCAATAATTCCAAATTATTCCAATAAAATGTTTCCCCTTTCATGGAAATTTATTGCCTATATATGACATTTGTCATATGTCTGAAAAAACTGCAGGAGGAGCATTCATCTCAGGGATTGGCTCCATCTAATTTTTCTCCCTCATCCCAGCAAAGTAAAACTAATGGAGTCGGAGCAAAAGGATCTATCGGCTGTTTTTCTCATGGGCCACAAAAGCTGGAAGCTGATAAATGGTTTAATGAAATGGCTCCAATGGCACACAGACTCCTTTCGGCTTTAATTATGGAAGATGACTTACCTGATTCCAATGGGGTGCAAAGAGATATACTTGTTGAATTTCCAAATAGCCACAACCCTTACACTGTCAACAGATACTTAGAAAATGAACTTCAAGCTAGTGCCATAACATCTAATTTTGGGCTGAGTGTGGATTTTGTGCACTCAAACAGTACTTCTGTGGTACATCAGAGCATGTGCAATGGTTTTACAGCTTCGAGCAATTTCATCAATTCAAACAGTGAAAATTCGGTTCATAGTGAGAATTTATCAGATGGACTCAATTTTACAGTATACCCAGAAAGTGGCCCTTTACATGACTTGATACCACCGATTCCACGGCAATGTCAAAATCCAGGGAAAGATTTCCCTTTATCTCCGTATGACTATCAATATGGGCAGATGTCTGTCGAAGATAAGATTTTAATTGAGCTGCAAAGTATTGGCATTTATCCAGAGACAGTGGTATGTCCCTTAAACTCTGGTGTTGCTTTATACAGTTTTTTAATGGAAGTCTATATGCATTGCCTACCAGGAAACATGTCAAATAATTGGAAAACCATAGTCTATGATTTTGGGCAACCTGACATGTTTCTTAAGGTGGTACCTTGAGGGAGGGAGAGGGCGCTCATATGGTTTTGATTACTTTGCCCTTTGTGTCTCTTGCCAGTCACAACCTCATTATTTTCTTACAAGCACCCCTCTTTACCTGAGTGATGTGTTAATAAAGAGATCAAAAAGCACACACCGAATGAGATATAGGCAATATAGGTAGATTTAGTTATCTATGTTCATGGTGTCTTGAAGAGTTATCCTCACTCCTGAAACATCAGATAAAAAGAAGGAACAAGTGAGGAAGTATTTGATGTGCTAAGATACTAGCTGTCATCCCAGGGGCATATATGCTGTTATTTTTTTTTATATTGGATGCTATTTTATCTGTGTTATAATCTATATAGTCCCTAGAAAGTCGAACTGTATGTAACAATCAGAATTTGTGCTTTTCCCTCCCCCTCATACATTCTGGTTTTGATTATTGCCTCATCTTTGCAACACTACTCTTTTCAGCCGAAGCTAGATGACGGAGAAGATGAGGACATTAATAAAATGATTTCAGAGTTGAGGAAAAGGCTGCATGATCAGGTTACGTGAACAACCCCTCGTCCCCTCCTAATAGCATGTCTTTAGTTTTGATTAAACTTGGATGGGTTCAGTGCACTGTTTTCAGTGTGTTAACTGTTAATGTGTGTGACTTCACCAGATCAATGTAAATTGTCATAATCTCTATCATATCATGTTTTGGAACCTTGGTTGTGTAAGGATTTCGTTTTCTACAAATGTTATAATTATTTTTGAAATGTTAATAATGTATAAAGCACATATATAAAATTGATGTTGACCATCTGGCATTACTATTTGTTTAAAGAGTAAGTTTCATAGTAGCTACATATTCAAGTGGCAGCTTGGCAAATAAGGACTAAGTGAGGACCAGCATACACTGTCATTTTGTACCTCTTCTTCATAATGGTTTGAATACATGTCTGAAATCATGGAAATCAGAGATTAATTCCTATTTTATGCTAGGGTCTGTATATAGGGAAAGCCTCTCATCAGATTTGAATGCTATAGATCAAGATGGTTGCCTATATCTCTAGGTGGAATGGTACCAAGGCGAGGTGGCATAGTTACAGGCCATTTGAAAAGTTTCAATGGTTTTAAGTGGCTTATCTGGGCCATCTGCATTCAATCAAATGACTAAGACCAATGGTTCTTATTGAACTAATTTAAAACTGTCTCACTTGATGCATCTGTGATGTTTTTTCATAACTTTGCATGCATGTATTCTGAAAAAATAAATTGCTTTTTTTTTCTCACTAGATTTTCACTAATGTGTATTAAAATGGTACCATTCTTGTTTTTGCAGGTGAACCAAAAGAAATGCAGATTACATAAGCTAGATAAATCAATTCAAGATACAAAGAATATTGAGGAGAGGTAGCGATGCATTATATTTATATACATTATATGTTAAATGCTAGTGCATGAAGTTACTTTAAGGGCTAACTTTAAGACTACCTGACAGGAGCTTGGAGCAACATGCTATGAACAAACTGGTTGAAAGGGCATACAGAAAACTCAAGGTAGTTGACATGTCTCTTCACATGATTGTTCTTACATCAATGTTGGCGCCACATGCGATTAAAAATGTCCTGGCTCTGCTATTTTAGTTGTGGTCTGGGGAGATATAAGATGTCCGTCCTTCATTGCTTTAACAAAAACCGTTATCTTTTCTTTTGTTTTTTCTTTAAGTTGGTGAATGAAATTTTGGTCTCCCCATGTTGGATGATCCTTGCCCCTTTAAGCTTAATATATTTTTTCGCCTGGAAAAAAGGGGTGATATGTATTAGCTGCATTAACATTGATCCTGTTTGCATCTCTTCTTTATGATATGTAGGGTGGGCGGATTGGCTCTAGTCACAAGGCTGGTGTCAGTAAATCTGCCAATAAAGCTGCAAAGCAGCTTGCTTTGGCTTTTGCCAAGCGTACTCTTGTTCGATGCCACAAATTTGATGAAACAGGGAAAAGCTGCTTCAGTGAGCCTTCTCTTTGGAGTGTGCTGTCTGTACCCTTGCCAAGCAGTGATGCAAAATCCACAGAGGGTAATTTATGTGCTACTGTTGCTCAGAGAGAAATGACTGTTATGTTTATGTACTTGAGAGTGGACTGTAACATGCACATTTTTGTGTCAAACTAATTCTTTTATCAAAATCATAACTTCTTGCCTGCTTTTGTTTGGGCTTCAGGTGTAGAGAGGCTGAAGCATCAAAAGCTTGACAGAACTCCATTCGATCAAGGTAACATAGCAATTCTCATGACGGTTATGCTGGGTGATGTCAGAAAACTACCTCCTGTTTGACCAAGTATATCAACTTACTGCTTTTCCTATCACAGGTGGCGCAAAATGGAAAAAGGCGACGACAGGAACAGGATCACAACAGGGATGCATCTGCAAAGGGCTCTGGATTGAAATCAGGCGCCATTCATCAGGCGGCAGCGGGAGGAGCGGCGGCGCAAAAAACAAGACAAAGCGAAGCAAAAGCTGGCGCAGCTATCAACTTCTGGAAACGTGCTGGGTAGAGTGGTTGAGCCATTTTCATCTCCGACAGTGCAAGAGCCGCCTGAACCTGCAAGCGAGAAAAAGACCCAGCATCCAACAAATTCGCATCCAACTAGGAATACTTCCAGCAACGCCAACCAGCGACTTACCGCGGATGCTGGACTGCCAGTGTTGCCTGGATTAGATGACATATTGGACGTCCCTGAAGGGCTTGACGGGCAGGGCAACGATATCAGCTCGTGGTTTACGGATGGCCTTGACGACTCGTTGCAAGACATTGATCTTTCAGGCGCCCTGGAAATCCCAGACGATGACCTCACCCAGCTGGGATTTATATAAGGAGAAGGAAGCAATTGTTGTTTGTCCTGTGCATATGTTGCGAGTGTGGATGCCATGTTTTTCCTTCCCTAATGTATGGTAGAGCTAATCCATTTAATCTCCCTGACACAACCTGGTAGGGCAGAGGTTGTAATCTGTAATTAGGCTGGTGGATTCGTGTCGATATCCGGAGTCTTCTGGCATGAAGTGGATGGTTGCACTGTTGCAGATGAGGTATTCGATTCTTGTAGCAGCAAGAACATGTTGAGATTTGCTAATGGTATCATGTAGTTTGTGGTTCTGCTTCCTGGATTATCCTGTCGGAATCGTGTCTGTGAAAAGCTCGTCCTTTGCAAGCCTTGTTGCCATTGCCAAAAGGGATGGATCTCGTTGCCCACGTGAAAGCTATGTGCTATTCCTATAGAGGATTATGTTTGTTCTGCGTTTCCGGCAACCGGCATGTAGAATCCTATGTTTTCTTGTGCGTTTTTTTTTGGCCATGTTGAATCATGGGATCTGATTAGTATGTGTGCAGACGAGATCGAACCGACAAGGGTCCATAGCTCAGTGGTACAGCAGATAAATAGGTCTCCGGTTCGAGTTTTTTTTAAATTATTTTTGTATTTTCTTCTCATAAAAAATATAGTTGGCGCTAACCAAAACTTATTTTGTCTGTTGTAGTTTTTTTTGGACAACTAACTCATTTTGTTCCAAGTACAACGTACTGTTAGGAACTTAGGATCTACTCCGTATCTGTTTAGTTCTTTTTTTTTTCACAACAAACTTATTTTATTTCAAGTACAACGTACGGTTCGAACCCGGATGGGCCCTGTGGAGTTTTTATTTAAAAAAAGAAAAGTTCTATCATTAATTTTGCATTTTCTTCTCAAAAAAATATAGATGGCGCTAACCAAAACTTATTTTGTCTGTTGTAGTTTTTTTTTACAACTAACTCATTTTGTTTCAAGTACAACGTACTGTTAGGATCTGTCCGTTGCAGTTCCTTTTTGACAACAAACTCATTTTATTTCAAGTACAACGTACTGTTAGGAGTTTGGAAAACTCAGTTTAAGGGCACGTACAACACAGGCATACAATGTTAGCCCCGCAACATGTTCGCTTGAACTTATCAGCTCGGCTTATTATCCATGGTACGGTGTTTTTCACAACAAAACAACATCAGCTGGTTTATCAGCCGCAGAAACCATCAGCCGAACAGTTAGAATGCGGGAATTTTTTCTATTTCCTATGTTTTTTCTCTAAAATGAACTGATTTCTGTGAAATTATTGCATTCAAAGGGACCCTAAAGTTAAAGATTCCACATTTGCAAGTAAAAAACTAAGGCTACCATCTATCCATACATGCATGGTTCCATGTCTTCCTCCTGCACAGCAAAAAGGACATGCATGTAGCAACTTTTCTACTCTCTCATCTCTCATGCGGAGGTCACAACACATTCTTCGACATCTTCTCCTGTGCGTCAATGGAGGACAATGGTTCTCCTTCAAGCTACTAGGACTATATGCAAGACCATCAGTCCATTATGAGATGGAATCTTGATGCAGAGGTAAAAGTTAGGGCAGTACGTCAACGTGGCGCGTTGGAGAAGTCCAAAGAGGAGAGTGCTTTCCTTAAGGGGCACTCATAGATATGAGTTAGATTTGAACAATGTACACATGTAGATAAAAGAGACTGGGAGGACCTTCAATCACACGGTGCATCTGTCAGCCAAGCAAGCTCAAATTGTCTATTTTAGTTAGACCTCCGTTGAAACAACCATTTTTATTCCAAGTTTCAACCCTAATGAACATAAAGCCGCTGATATTTATTTCCACCTGTTTTTGCTGTCTATAACATGGAATGAACTCACAAACCGTATAAAGCCAAGCGTTACCTTTTCTTTCTCGTTATCTCTCTCTATCTTTTGTTAGTTTAGTTTCATCAGGTATATGGTCCTCCGTACAATCCAAATCAACAAAGACAGTTTGGCCGAGTGGTCTAAGGCGCCAGATTTAGGCTCTGGTCCGAAAGGGCGTGGGTTCAAATCCCACAGCTGTCAGCCTTCTGTTATTTTTGCACATTTCCATCCTTATTTTTTCTCTTTTTTTTTCACATTTCCATCCGCCTTTTCAATGATACTTTTATGTCATCATCCTTATTTGTTATTATTTTTTCTTCTGTTTTTTTTTGCACATTTTCATCCTTATCCCCCCCTTCACATTTCATCAGCCTTTTCAATGCTACTTTTATGTCATCATCTTTATTTTTTTATTCTTTTTTGTTCACATTTCCATCCCCCATTTTTTTCACATTTCCATCCGCCTTTTCAATGATACTTTTATGTCATCATCCTTATTTGTTATTATTTTTTCTTCTGTTTTTTTGCACATTTTCATCCTTATCCCCCCCTTCACATTTCATCAGCCTTTTCAATGCTACTTTTATGTCATCATCTTTACTTTTTTTATTCTTTTTTGTTCACATTTCCATCCCCCGTTTTTTTGCACATTTCCATCCTATCCTTGTTTTTTCTTTTTTTCACATTTCCATCCGCCTTTTCGATGCTACTTTTATGTCATCATCCTTATTTGTTATTATTTTTTTCTTCTATTTTTTTGCACGTTTTCATCCTTATTTCCCCCCTTTTTTCACATTTTCATCCGCCATTTCAATGCTACTTTTATGTCATCATCCTTAATTTTTTATTCTTTTTTTTGTCCACATTTCCATCCCCCGTTTTTTTTTTTTGCACATTTCCATCCTTATTTTTTCATTTTTTTTCTTGCACATTTCCATCCGTCTTTTCAATGCTACTTTTATGTCATCATCCTTAATTTTTCTTCTTTTTTTTGGTGCACATTTCCATCCCCCTTTTCAACGCTACTTCTATGTCATCCTATCAAGTTTTCGGTTCAGAAAAAGAGAAAAATAATTTAGGACCCAAATAAAAAGGATGGCTTCGCATTAAGGTTCTCTGCAGCTGCCTCATTTTATTAGGTGCGCTTAATGCCATACGAGCTATAGCAGCCCACATTTGGTTTTGGTGCCCCACAACCTTCACCGTCCATTGCTTGAGCAATGCACATTTTCATTCATCACAAAAGCATAATAGTAGCAGAAAGGGTTTTTTTTTTCTCTCTAACTAAACTAATAAGAGCCCAAATAACACTACAATTTATTTTCAGTTGTCATTTACATGCAGGCGGCTGTTTTCTAGACATACACAGCCTCTACGCTGCATGCAGCTTACCGTTGAACAATTTCCCAATCAACCTGATTCAATTTCTGATGGCTGTACGGCAGCAACAGCCACAATTCCGCATTATATTTATTATTTATTACCTTGCCTGTCATATACATCTACTACACAGAATCAATATAAGGTAATGAATCAATAGATGCACAGCTTCTAACTCACAACCCTTCTGCTCTGCTATCCAGCTACTATAGGAACTTAGTCCAAAACGCCTTAAAGCGAACCCCCACCACATACCATGGCTCACAATCACGTTCCCCCCTCACTACACTTCATTTCACTAACAGTGCTTTGCTGCTCCTCAACGTGAGACAGGTTCTGACAAGAATACAGCATCTTCCAACATAGCAACGCTGCCCCCGTTTACATTGTCTATACAATGGCAATGGGCTAGCTGCTTGCTTCTGTACATGCAGCTGACAGTGCATTTGATGGCATCAACTCCTAATGGGTACCATCATTCACTGCTGGATCACGCATAGCTCCCAGTTCCCTTCGCCGTCAATGAGCTTCAGCTCCAAGGCATGGAAGGGTATCAAAGCAGGCCTCTGTAATAATTGGGGAAAAGTTTCAGCAAAACGATTGATTCATTTCAGAAAGCAAGTTGTGAATAAATTGACAACAAATTCAGCATCTTCTTTATTTTTTTGACGGTTCACCACCATCGGAAATTTTATCGCAGGGATTGTCCAAATGCTTACTTGTGAGGAAGTGATCACAGTTATGCCCATGCTAGTTGCAAGTCTGTACAGATGCTCTTCAACATCAACACTCGTAGCACTGCAATCAAGTACGAATTTAGGACCCACAGTAATTGATAAGGAAAGAGAAAAGGAAATGCAAGAAATCAAAAGAGCATTGTGACAGAACACGTACTTGGTGCACTCGTCGAGGATACCAAACTTAGGATGATGGAAAAACAAACGAGCCTGACAAAAGGAACAGAGTGACTTTCAATTAACTCAATAGCGAAGAAAATGAAAAAGGAACAAATAAAGGTGGTCTGCCAGTTAATACCGACCATCCCAAGCCTCTGTTGTTCTCCTAATGACAGAACATCTTCCCAGTTTGGTGTAGAATCCCACCCTTCTCTTTCTAGGAGATACAGCAGCCGGACATTCTCTAGAATTGTCTTCAGGTGATCATCCAGAAGGACAGAGGCACTAGAATTGTTACCTATATTACCAGTTTTCCCGTTACCAGGACAAGCAACAATATAACTTATTACTTCCAATCAACTGGCATGCTCCTAGCTAATCATAATACAAGGTTCTTACTAATTCAACAGAGCAATTTCAAGAGGTGGGCCTACCAGATCTATGTAATGAAAGAAATTTTATCTTCGCTTCCTCCCTTGAGAGAGGGTATATGATCTGATCCCGCAGAGTACCCAGACTGGTATATGGCCGCTGAGGAACATGGAACATCCCTTCTAAGGGCTTGGTAACTCTCCCAGAGAAGGTGGGCCACAGATCCCTGAGCACTCTAAAAATAGAACTCTTTCCACTACCATTGGGACCTTCAGCAAAACAAAAAAATGAATCATGACAATATAAGCTCACTGCTGAGCAGAAGACAAAAAAAAAGGTTGCCTGCACAAAGACTGAATACCAGTCAGAAGAAGGCCTTTCCCTTGTACCACATTGCACGAGAGTTTTCTAGCCAATAGCTTCTGTGATGGTGTTACAATGTCCACTTCATGAAATGAAATAATTTCTTCTGAGGCTGCACTGATGGCATTGGGAGACACCGCAGTATCTGGGG